CCCAGACATGCTGGAGCCTTGCTGAATACAGCCAGGCCACTCCCCACATTGGCCAGTGTTATTTGCAAAGATGCTTTTTTGGGTGTACTGAAGATGTCAAGTTTATTTGGCTGTATTTATGTTGGAAGACCTCTTGTGTGATGTATAGCCTAAAACCATCCTAAACATGTCTCTGCCACAATAAGCCCTCATTGCTCTTGATAGGAACTCTGTCCCCAGGAGGAGATTATAGCTATAAATCTTAGGACTCAAACTGTTACACCACCCAGTACTGAGAATGACTTACTCTACCTAAGCCTTTTGAAGCTTTTAGTAGGTTTGGAGAAGTAATGTTAGATGCCAGCTTGCCGTGCATGGTGCATTACTTCCATGTGCCAGTGTGCCAGCATTGCTTGAATTTCACAGGCTGCAGCAGCCAAAAATCAAGTTTGCGCTGACATTTAAATGCCTGTTAATGAGTTTTGTCTTTGCAAAAACTTACATCTTGGTTTGGTTTCTTTTATTAGTCTTAAGGTTCAACTTAGCTTTCTTAGGTTGTTTTCAGCTTTAAAAACTCTGTTTCATTTCATTGTGAGACCAGTGATATACCATAATGAAAATTATATATGTATACACACGTAGACAAGTTGAAGCAGCAGTTCTCTTACACATTGGCTTTTATGTGGGTTTTTTGGACTCTTACGTGTTTTGACTGTAAGGCTGGTGAAGATAACGTCCTATGTAAGCTTGTTAGTTTGTGTACTGGATTAACAGAGCTTTGGATTTCAGTGAAATCTTGGGTTGATTTTGGAGCATTTCAAGTTGAGTGGATAAATGGAGTAGAAATAAACAAAGCAAAGCTTATGCAAACAAGGTCTGTAATCTGAAATTGATCTAAATGCTTCTCATTTAGATGTCAGTGTGAAAAGGTGAAAGTGGTGGAAGCAGTTTCCTCACTAGCTCCTGTATCAATTTGCTTTCTCAGCAGTATGACCTTTGCCCTCAGCCACCTTTTTCCCTTGATTTTAACATTTCAGGAGATTTAACTGTAAGTGTGAAACCTTTTCACAGATGTAAAATACAAATCAAGGAATAATAATTCCTCATTGGTATAAACAAAACTGACAGTATAAAGCTTATGTTACGGACTTCAGTTTTATTGTAGATAGTCAGAACAATGTGTGTGTACAATGAATGACTGTTGATTATTGCGGGACTCCAGTGTTAAAAAAGTGAAAAGTCAAGGTAGTTAATCCTTGGAAGTCATAATTTCCTGCAGTTAATTGCATGGCTATAATTAAAATGTTAAAAAATGTGTCTAAAAATTACTTTCGTATAGGTACATGAGTCTCAAAACTATTCTGAATAATTGTTATGATCTTAAACTGGAGAGAATACTATATAGAATACTTAGTCATTCTTTCTTTGTAATCTGCCTATCAATATGGATACCTGGTTTGTAATTGTGTCTTATATTAAAATACATTTTAAGGGCAATTTTTGTTGGCCACTGTCCAAAGTTTTTTTCTTCAAAATGGTGTTCTACTATTTTATTTGGTGGGTTCAGTTTGCTCACTTCTTGAATGACAGTCTTTTCTTCCACTTCTGAAATGCCAACCTGTGAGACAAACAGTCTCTGGGACAGTTTGTAGCCAGTTTTTCCTTGAGTGGTAGGTTTCATACAGTATCCTGGCACTTAACATAAATTACTAGAAACAAGTTACTCTAAGTGACACTTGTACCTATACCTGCATCACAGTTGCTTTTGGAGATGCTGTTAACATATAATCAGCCCTCTGCAATACACACCTTGCAAAATCTGTAAATCTGCCAGAATGAAGGAGAATTAAGACTTTCAGTCAAAATAAAATATGGAGGCAAATTAGCCTCTACCATTACCTTGACATAGAGTGTCTGTTGTTAGTGTTTTTTTTTTCTCTGATCTAGATGAAAAAATTAATGTAAAAAAATCTTTCTTGTAGTGTTTCTGCCAGTTCTCGGACTATGTCCCTGCTGTCACAGCTGGAGAAGATCAATTTGGACTCTCTGTTGGGGGAATCAGGCAGTGCCAGATATGTTACCTCAAAGATCCTTCATCTGGTCCAGAGCCAAGGTGATTTTCTAAGTCTTCTAGTTTTTCTTTTGAGCCTGCCTTCTTGCATATCTTCCTTGCTCGACATAATTTTTGGGGTTTTTTTGTTTGCTTATTGAACTTGATTATCCATCTGTATTTTTTCTCCAGTTGTTGAACCCACCTGTTTAAGACTGTGTTTAGTACTATCTGGTATACACTGAGTCCATTTTGTATTGCCAAACATCTATAATTTAAGCAACAATTTGCTTTATCTCTCTCTCTCTATATATAGATAGATAGATAGATAGATATAGATATAGATATCTGAGAAGCAGAAGTATCTGTAAGAGAGGTTTCTTACTTATTTTTTTCTTACAGTTTGTTTTTTTTTGCCTAGGGCACAAGATAATTGAACAAATTAAAGCAAAAAAGAGTTTTAAAATTGCTTAAGTCTTTTACTTAGTTTTATATACATATACACAGTTTTTAATAGGTTTTATTATTTGCAGTGTAGCTTTTCTTCTCAATCTATAGATGATCATATATTATTTTTCTGCAAGCTAGTATTGGTCTTTTTATCACTGACAGAAAAAACCAGGAAGGAGATGACTTCAAAGGGGTGCACTGGAATAGAAGTTATGCTATCAACGCTAGAGGTAAAACCTTTTAATCTGTGTGGCTTTGGGTACATAGCAAGTTTTGTGTTTTATCAATGGGCTTTTTATTATTAAATATGTTGTTATCTTAGTGAGTCTCCAAAACTTGTGCAGGTCTGTAATGTTTAGATACCATCCCTCTTTAAATAGCTTACTTATTACTGTCTCTCAATTATGTTTAAATATTTTAAGAAATTATTTGCCAGCTGTCAGTTCTAATTGATGTGCCATACTACAGTGTAGATTTTAATTGGTTCTGTGGTTAAGTGGGATGGTTAGCTGATTGGTTATATCCTAAGTTCCACTTGATTTAGTGATGGCAGTTTCTTCTAGTTTAAAGTATCTAAACCATCATATTAGACTACTGTGTTAAGCTAAGTTCTCTCTCTTTTTTGATTGCAGAATACAAAAGATACTCAAACTATTCTAAATATATTGAATATTCTGATTGAGGTAGTCTCAGTTGGTAAGTTTTCATTAAGGACTCATATTTATTATAGTCATACATTCTTTTTGTTTGTTTTGCTTGGGTTTTTATTGTTGTTGTGGGTTTCTAATTATTTTGGGGTTTTGCTAGTTGTCATTTGCTAAATCGGATTTATCTGCAGAATTAAAAGAACATAAAGACCGAAGTCACCTTTCAAATAGTCATACACAAGTAATTTACATTGCTTAAAGTCTAAGTTCAGCATGTCTTTGTATGGTGTAGTCATCTGTGAAGGAAGTGTTGCTGTTCTGAAGACTTTCTTTATGATTTCTGCAGCTTAGATATTTAATTGTTCTTTGGCTTTAGACATATCGGTTCAATTTTACTTTCTAGGTGGTGGTCGGAGAGCAAATATCTTAGTTACCAAAGGAGGGACACAGATCTTATTACAGCTGCTTTTGACTGCCAGCAAAGATTCTCCACCAAATGAAGAATTAATGGTGCTGCTTCATACTCTTCTTGCAAAAATTGGTCCAAAAGGTGAAATATGGCTTATTACATTACAGTCCTATAAATGAAACTTAATAGAAATTGTCTTTCTACTATTGTGTAAGCATCCATGTAGTCAGAATTGGTACAGGAGAACAAAAGGAGGAATAAGATGGAGGGGAGGAAAGAATGGTGAAAAATAGATATGAAGAGCTGACATCAGTAGAAGGAATTCAGTCATTTAACTTTTAATAATCATTGCAAAATTGTCTGATTGATCTTGTATTCCTTTTATGTCAGACAAGAAGATTGGCATGAAAGCAAGAATAAATGGTACCCTGAACATATCACTGAATTTAGTGAAACAGAATTTGCAGAACCACAGGCTAATATTGCCATGTCTTCAAGTACTAAGAGTTTACTCAACCAACTGTAAGTATTGCAGATTGCTTGTTTAATGTTAGGTGTTTAAAATTATTTTATTTTTGATAATTTGCTTTTTACATCCACAAATTGATTACATTCTAGAATTCTGAGCCATTTAATTTGCATAAATGCTGGTAAGTTTTAAGATCTAAACCAGAAGTGCTAACACTGTGCTTGCAAAAGCTCTAAGAATTATACAATTATTCTCTTTATTATTCATGCTCTTGGTTTTGTGGTTTTTGTTTTGTTTTGGTTTGGTGTGGTTTATTTTGTTACATTATTTATTTCTTTATTGCTTATTTAAAACTTGGTTCACATGGGAAATATTTTATTTCTTAGTATAACCTTTTCCTTATTTCTTGTGTTCAAGTGCTCTGGTGTTGGATTAGTATTCTTCCCTAAGAGCCTAATTTATTATTTCTGCGGACAATAGGAGGTTGATGAAAATTGCATGGTTCTTGCTATATCTTTACTGTCAGTCAGATGCTCTTAAGTTTTTCATTTGAGTTCAAAATAGTTGTTAAGCCTTTTAAATAAGTGCAAGAAATTGTAAACGTAGCCACATTCCTCCCAGAAAATTGATTTGATGATCTGTAAGATTATGTTTTCAGGACATTTGCATGAGCAGCTATAGTTCATAAAGTTCTAATACTTTTCAAATGTGGATGCTTTATTTCCCTTGAGCTGTCTGATAATGAGGTGAAATGCTTCTAAATTTAAGGGTTTCATACAGATAGTTACATTGGTTGGCTGAGAACTTGCTTCATCCTGAAGATGGGATATTGGACTGAATCTCTCATTTGGGTTCTGCTTATAGCAATTCTCTCTTTCTCTATTTCCCACTCCTTATAAACAGAAAAAGTAGTAGTTTATAACATTCTGATGGGTAGTACTGTTTAAGTATATTTACTATCAGACTAAGTCCTAACTTTTCTTAGGTTCTAGTAATGCTGCTGATGAAATTGCAACTTGGGTTCACATACTTAAATCTACAGTAATAACAGCACTTACTATATTGAGGTAAATTCTTAGCTGCTCTCTTCCTACTTGATTAGGAGTACATATTGCTGAACTCAGTTAGGAATTGAATTTCTGTGCCTGTTTCAGCAGCTTGGTGTTGTCAGAGGCTGTTTGACTTCAGCCAGGTACATTTCCAGAGCATATTTCTTGAACGTAGGTCTTAGCGTAATTTCTTTTCATTTGCTCCCTTTCAAATAGGTTATTTTTATAATTTTTTTGTGAGAGCATATGTGCATAACGTGTAGCTCAGGAAAGCTTATATCAATTGGCATTTTTAGGTTTTACAGCAAATGCTTGGCTTTCAAATCCTGGTGAATATACCTGTCTATCCCAACACTGAAGGATAGTAGCTAGTCATAGAATTTACTACTCTTGAAATTTTAGAAAACCCACAGTTATGATAAACTTTGCCTTTTTGTTTTTTAAAGGATTTTCTTTTTGTGATGTATGTTAATAACAAACAAAGCAGAAGCCTGCATTGGAAATAGTGCATGATTTTATTTGTAAATTAGTAATTAAGTATATATCTAGCATTTTTTGTACTTCAGAATTGACTCACATGAATTTAGGTTGAGTATATTGATTTATTTTTTTTTTAATCTTGCCTTCCTAATGATGTTTTTAAAATGGACTGCTTTTAACTCTTCCAGCTGTAAATGCGGTGTCTTTGGGAAAGAATGGAGTAGTGGAACTGATGTTTAAGATCATTGGCCCTTTTAGTAAAAAGAACACTAGCCTTATGAAGTAAGTAAGGATTCTTCAATATAGTATATGGCGGAACCTTGTATATGTTTCAAAACTTACTTGTGCATGAAAAACAATATTAGAGAAATCAGACACAATATTTCAATGTTGAAATGAAGGGAGGTGGGAAGGAGTACCACAAATCTGACAGTTTGATTTTACCCAGTAAAGGAATACAAAATATTTAAATGTCTAGTTGCAGTAGTAGTAAAGTAATATAAATGTTGTTGTTTTGTCTCTAATATTCCTGCATGGAAACTATACAGTGGTTATCCCCGAATCAGGCAAACCAGATCAAGGCAATCGCATCCCTCTTCGGTTTGTTGAGTTGGCACATCTGCTTTGTGCTTTTAGTGTGACACTATCCATTTTATGTGGTAGTAGAATTGTCTTCTGTTTTACTTCAAAACAATTACAGTCTCTCAGAGCAAGAACATAAACCAGAGTAGGAAGGCCCAGCAATATCTGTCTAGTGAGCTATTGTCTTATTTTGCTAAAGAAAATAAAATTCATCGTGTAACTTAAAGTGGTGACTTTAGATACCCACCCCCATGGTGGTTGGTAGGTTTTGGGGTTGATTTTTATTTGTTGGTGGGGGGGAAGTGTTTGGGGGTTTTTTGGTGTGAATTTGGGGTAAAAAAGGTAGCAAAGTGGGTCTAACTGAAGAGAACCCTTTCTTCGTATACTCCACTTTTCTGAAGTACATTCCTGTAGAAAATTTAATTTTTCATCTGGTTAGCAAAATAATAATCTCATATGTTGCATCTTCTAACTTCAGTACAAAAAAGAAAGCTATCCAAATCTGGCATTTGTGGTCACAGGAGTACCTTTCAAAAAAAATGCCTTGCTCCTTTAAGCCCTGAATTAGGGTCTTAAAGCTCAAATTAGGTTTATGAACTTAATATTTCATGATGTGACTAATTGTGATATCCTTGTTTATGATCTAAGATCAGATGCATGAAGTCTGTCTTCAGAAGGAGGGTAAAAATAAGTAGATATGTTTTCTAGTTGTACAACTTGAGTTAATTGAGAAAAGATACTAGTGTACAAGAAAAATCTTACACTGACCATATTGTATGGTAGTACAGATTGGCAGGCATTGCTGCTCAGCATGTTCAGTATTGACCTACAGTTTTCTAAAATAGTGTCCTTTGCTTCATGGAAGTACTTGTTTTGCTGCTAACAAAAACATGAATTTCAGAACTATCACAACCATTTAGTATGGCTCACAAACATTATATTGTCACAGTGTTTTTGCAAAAGCTGAAAGTTCATATGGCCATTGCATTGATATTTTTATTTCTGCCAAAAGACTTCAGATATAGCATAGATATGCTGTGTTAGTAAAATTCAAAAAGAAAAAATAAAATTTTTTAAAAGTGAAGTCTGTGATACAATGCAACCAGAAAACATGAGGTTAGATGCTATATAAATCTCTTAGCAGTAAATATTTTGCGTAGTTTTACAGTGTTATAGATTGGGCTTGATGATTGATTGCTGTTTTGACTTTTCTTGTTATGTTGACAGGGTTGCTTTAGATACACTTGCTGCGTTGCTAAAATCAAGTAAGTGTTTGACTACAAGAAACTCTTTGCTTGAGCTATGTAAGTATGTGTGTATATATATAGACAGAGTAAAACTAACGTCAAGTCTGTGGCCTAAATAAAATCAAGGCTGGGAAACATAGAAATAAGGCTACAGTTTTATCTTCACACTCTGGTTGTATATATGTTTGTTTAATAATTAGTGTTTCTTCAGTTATGCAGCAGAAAGGCTCCACTGCTTCTGCAGATCTGATCTGGATCCAAGGTGGAGAAAATAGCCTTTTACATTCACTCACCTCAGTTATTCAGTAGTGGATGTCGATAGCTTAACTCCCATGCGTCTTTTTTATACATACATCTGAAAATTTCTCTTGGATGGCAGGGGAAAATACAGGGTTTTTTCAGGAACCTTTCTGAGTAATTAGGGCTTGGGTCCTAATGACAAGTCTGTCAGTGATACTCGTGAAATGGAATTAAGGTAATGAAACAACAGTCTATTTCCAGACCAGCAGACATCATCTCTGCAGATTTTGAACCAGGATTGTAACTGGCAAGGAATTTAAAACTAATTTTCTCCAAACCGTTGTGTTAAAGCTACAGCATTCCTAGTTGTTTTAGTGGAGCTGGATAAGAACAAAGGCATGATTAGATTTATAGAAAACCTCTTTCAGACAAATGGCAAGAAATTTCTGTATGAATTATCACAGGGTAGTGAGTTTACTCTGGTTTGTTTATTGTGATACCTTGGTTTTACAGATTTGTATATTTACTAATTTTCTCCTTGGGAAATTTAGAGAAAGAAACATTTCTGGATCACTGTCAGTATTTTAGTCTGTAAATTGGCAGTTAAACTTTAATATTGGGGAGAGAAGTGTAGTGTTGGAAAGGTGTGTCTTTAAAACAGGAGGTCTTGTGCATTTATTTAGAGATGTCTTGTCCTTAGCAGTTTCGACATTGTAATGTCTTTTTATATAAGTAAGTTTTTTCATGAAAACACTAACCAGTGATGTGTATAGTCCAGCTGCCATACTGGTTACCCAGTATTTGGGGTAGATGTATTTTAAACTTAGCAAATTTGAGTTGCTACAAAACTCTATGGATTACAAGTAGAAAGAAGTTTGTTTCAGATCTTGTATCTACATGGTATGTGTGTGGATAGAAACAGATGTACTTTGTAGAAATGCTTTTTTAAAAAAATTTGCTAGATGGCAGCATCTTACCTTTAAGTGTAATGCATGCTGTTCTTCTGGTGAACCATGAAAACTACATGCAGTGTTATTCCAGGAATGAATTTTAGACTACTGCTCTCAATTACTCAGTCATTTCTGTTTAGGCTGATGTAAATCTCTGCTAAGTGTGTCTGAAATACTACTTTAAGTGAAACACTTCAGTTCCTTGGGTAAAAAGAATAATTTAAACATTGGTTTGAAAATGATACGGAAGACATTGGGCAATTTTTAATTTTCTTTCCTTACTTTTTTTACAAAGAAACAAATGCCAGGAGAGCAGTAGACAAAGGATATGTGCAGTTGCTTTTAACGATTTATGTTGATTGGCACCGCCATGATAGTCGGCACAGATATATGCTGATACGTAAAGGAGTTTTACAGTGCATTAAAAGTGTAACAAACATCAAACTGGGAAGAAAAGCATTTATTGATGCCAATGGGATGAAAATTCTCTACAACACTTCACAAGTAAGTTTATCCTGGTTGGGTTTTTTTTATGGTGGTGTTTTTGCCTCTTTGCCTTTAAAAGGATTGTGAAATTAATGGTCATTCCTGATTATGAGAGTTCAGATATTTTCTGTACCTGATTGAAACAGAATGGAAGAGTACAGAATTAAATTCATATTTGCTATTATTTTGCTGTGACTGTCTCTGGGAGGGGCTGTTGAACTTAATTTTTAAAAAAGAGGGGGTGAAAATGCCTTTTAATTTCAAAGTTTGGATTTTAAAAAAGGTGAATTGGAGCTGGTAGCAGTTTCTCTGGCCTTCAAAAGAGACATTAGCAAATTGTTTTGTAAAGAAAATGCTATTAGTGAATGCCAGAAATCTGTGTAACAAATACAATTTGACTACTAGTTTGAGAGATACTTTGCTCTTATCTTCATTATTTTCCTGTTAATAGGAGTGCCTTGCTGTGAGAACTCTTGATCCTCTTGTCAACACATCCAGCCTAATAATGAGAAAATGTTTTCCTAAAAATCGTCTTCCCTTACCGACTATCAAAAGTGCTTTCCATTTCCAACTCCCAGTTATTCCTGCCAGTGGTCCTGTGGCTCAGCTGTACAATTTGCCTCCTGATGGTATGGTTATTTTGTAATAGTTTGAGTATGTCTGCTTTGTGGTGGAATCAATTGCAGTTAGTTGTGTTACCCAATCAAACTTCAATGAGAAGTAGAGCTGCTTTCATGGATTGTTGCAGTCTATTGAGAAACACTTGTCTGCAAAGCATTTGTATGGTGCTTTGTAGGAAATGGGTTCATTCCATTGTGAGCCCCTTTCATTATTTTCAGATAATTCATGTTTAATGTGTGTTCAGATATGATGAAACAGCTTTGGACCTAGGCAAGCAACTAATAAAGTTGCTGTCAGAAAGTTACTCTAAAATGAAGAGGCAAAGTCAGACTTATTAATATCTTGTATTCACAGTATCTCCTGGAACAAAATGTGATCATAACCCTAAAGAAGTAAGCTATCCTGTCGGGGTTCATATGGGTCAAACTCAGACTCCAGGAGTTCTGAGTTGGTTTATGTTTTCTCTTCACAGTAGGAAATAGATTTAGAAGTGTGTTTCAGAATCCACCAAATTTAAACCTGTACTTAATACAGTATTTTTGGTACTAGTTAGTACCAAATATAGTACTAATAGTACTAATACTAGTACTAATGCCTAGTTAGAAACTTCCTATTCTGTTGAAGTGACTACTGATACGTTTTTTAATAGGTTAGTTATCCGTTAAAAAAACAAGTGAAAAACCTAAGGAAATAGGATTTACAGGATTTGCTTTTAAAGGAAAAACTTCTGTATTCAAAGACACATAGAATGTGGGATGGGTAGAGGTCTGGGTTTATTAAAAGGAAGTCTTGTCAGTATTGTAAAAGCAATACATGTAGTCAGTCTGAAGACACTAGAATATTGGTATAATTTGTGAACCTCTGAGCAAGCCATTTATTGACAATCAGTGCATTTCCTGCATGAAAAAACCTCTTTCAGA